CTCAAATTTACACATGGCTAAAGATAAGCAGTGGAGATGGAGCTCAGTGCTGAACTTGCTTAGCATATATTCTGTCCCAGGGTTCAATACCCACCCCAACCAACACCATAAGAAAAAGCAATCCAAACCTAAGCTTCATGAGTATTTTATTTGTTTCCTGATTATGGGTGTAGTCTAGGTAACAAGTGACAATCTAAGGCCAGCAGATCTGGCTGATACTTGCTGTTATTTGCTTGAGAAGCTGAAGTGGCCAGGCTAATCAGTACTATAATACACTGTCCCTTGCAAAGGAGATGACCAGCATTTCAACAGTATGTCTTCCTGGGAGGGCAGAGTCAGCTATCTCTTCTTTGTCTGCATCAAAAGACTCCAGAGGAATATGGACACATTTCATATCCCATTTGTAGAGCAAAGCTTCAAGTGACCAGTCAGCACTTAGAAGAAATAAATTAGTTCATAAACTTAACATTGGTTTTCCTTGAAAAATTGCCCATGAATTTGAATAAACCAGGATCGTTAATACTCACCTTCTAACCTGGTATGTTGACCATAATTGAACCTTGGGGTTCTTCTGCATTAAAAAGTACACTGTAGTTAAGATGTCCTCAAAATCTGAAGAGAAAACAGCTTTTAGGTTTTTTTTTCCAACTTTGGGGGGGGTGGGGGAGGGTTCGTTGTGGGGCTTGAACTCTGCTGAGTGAGAGTCCTTGGCTCTTTGCTCAAGGCCAGTGCTCTACAACTAAGCCATAGTTCCACTTCAATTTTCTGGTGACAACTGGAGATAAGTCTCAGGCTGACTTTGAACTGCCATACTCAGATGTGTCTCCTGAGTGGCTAGGATTATAGATGGGCTTTTCTATCATCTCTGGTCACATAAAGCAAGAGTTTACCTTCTGGCTCAAAAAATACATCAGATGCAAGAATAAGGTCCTGTGGTGGTAAGGCTAGAAGATCCGGAGAGATGTGGCCCCATGTCACTCCTATGACCGGTACCTGAGGCAGGTTATTCAATTGACAGCTTTGCTTAGAGATCTCCAGGCAGTGAGGAAGTTCTGAACTGTCAGACAGTGTTACTTCTGCACCACATTTTGCAGCCAAGATTCCTGGAAGGCTTACTCCAGCTCCAATCTAGTAAAACATAGAAAGATGGCATTCAAAGACTGGAATCCTATTTTGAAGGCTTGGTGGATAATCATTTGCAAAAATTTCAACCATGATGTCTTTGTAATATTTAAACCTCATGAAGCAAAACACTGCTATAAGATTAGGCTAGAAAGAAACCAATGTTAGGGCCTAAGTGTCTTAGGAGGAAAAGCCAAGGAAATATAAAGTAATATGTGGTGAAACCTTTTACTCTGTACAATTTAATATGTGCCAAGAGTTGGTCGAGCAAGCTTCCACATTAACTCTGCAGCCTAGGGCAAGTAAGGCCTGTAAAGATACTGATCCACTTGTTTCTTCCCATGATTTTCAGTCCTCAAGTATTAAAAGAAGCTTTGAATTCTTTAGGATACAAGGAAAGCTGGGTGCTAGTTGTTCATACCTGTAATAGTAGCCACTCAAAGAAGGTTGACATTTGAGGATGGATGTTCAAAGCCAGCCAGGGAAGAAGAGGTTGTGAGACCTCCAATAAATTACTCAGAAAAAGCCAGAAGTGGTCCTGTGGCTCAAGTGATAGAGAGCTAGCCTTGAGCATAGAGGCTCAGGCAGCATCCAGGCTGAATGCACAGCCAGCTAGAGTTGTCACTACCAACATTAATTGTTATTCTGTAGGTCAGTGTATAGCAGTTTTCTACTCAAAAAGGCTTGTTTTTCCTTGTTCTACGAGACAAGTATGTAACCAAGACTAGCCTGCTCAGCTCCTGGGTACTCTGTTTACAGGTATTTGCCACCACACCAACTTAAGGGAGATTTTCTAGTAAAGCCTAGAAAATAAAGCCCTTTGTAAACATGCTGACGAATACCAAGAATACAGGTGCCTAAAACTTATTTGAGCAAAGCATGAGGATCCAAATAGTATAGGCAGAAGCAAAGAGAGCACTAGTTCAAGGTCAGTCTGAGCTACATTAGGCAAGACTTGTCTCAAAAATTTACTTTCCAGCATTATTAACAATCTCAAACTAGGTAGAGTGGTGAGCAGCTAAGAGAATGGGAAACATTTTGAAACTTATCTCAACATTTCCAAAAGTGGATTGGACTATGTTATGGTCACTATTTATATCCACCCAAAAATTGCTTTGAAAACTTTTTTGGCCAGTCCTAGGGTTTGGCTTGAACTCGGCCTGGGCACTGTCCCTGAGCTGCTCTGCTCTTGCTCAAAGCTAGCACTCTACCACTTGAGCCACAGCACCACTTCTAGCTTTTCCTGTATATGTGGTGCTGAGGAATGGAACCCAGAGCTTCATGCATGCTAGGCAAGCACTCTATGGCTGAACCACCTTCCCAGACTGGCTTTGAAAACTTAAAACATTAGTGCGATGACTGGGAGAGCAGGGCAAAGTCCTTGGCTTCCTGGCTACCCAAAACTCTTGAGAAATTTGTTGGTAAGCTGTCAAATTTGTCCCTTTTTGAAATGTGAAAAACGCTTCAAGTATCCTCGTAGAGCTGGGTGATGCAGCAAGCCACCTATACGCAGCCTTAAAAACTGTTGCCATGGGGCTGGGAAGGTGGCTCAGTGATAGAGTGCTTGCCTTGCTTCATGAGGGCCCTGGGTTTGATTCCTAAGCACCACACTGGAAGTGGTGCTGTGGCTCAAGTGGGTAGAGTGCTCGCCTTAAGCTGAAGAGTTCAAGGACAGTGCCCAGGCCCAGAGTTCAAGCCCCACAACTGTCAAAAACAAACAGATGTGGTGATACACATTTGTAATCCTAGCACTCAGGAGGCTGAGGCAGGAAAACAGCAAATTCCAGGTCAGCCTAGACTATAAAGGGAGACCAGCACATACTGTTAGGGTAGGACCAATCAACTTGTAAAGGGCCTACTAGTAACTATTTCCAGGCTTTATAAATCATTTAATGGTCTGTCACATGAATTAACATTCCAAAGATGTTTAAAAAAGCTTTCATAACTGGGTCCTTTCAAGTTGTCAGCCACACTGCTCCTGACTTTCAAATACTTTAACAAAGGCTAGTAACAATCAAGTAGACAGAAATCTCAATATAACCTAGGATTTTGGAAACTTCAGGAGCCATGTACCTCTAAGACAGCCTTGCCAGGCAGAGATCTTCTGTGAAACCATAGGTACTGGGCCAGGACCACAGCACAGGGCCAGATGTACATTCCATACTGCAGATGCAGGACCTGGAAAGAACATGTTTTATCCAATAATCCTGCTGGAAGTTGGATTATTTTATGCAGCAATTAGTGTCAGGCTTTTGCTTTCTGGTTCACAACCTGTGGGGATATAAAACCATAACGCCATATGATAGAGTACACTCTGCAACATTCATTTGACTCATTCTATAGGGTTTTTTTTGTTTTTTGTTTTGGTCAGTCATGGGGGTTGAACTCAGGGCTTAGCTGTTGTCCCTAAGCTTTTTTGCTCAAGGCTAGCGATCTACTACTTTGAGTCACAGCACCATTTCCAGTTTTCTGATGGTTAATTGGAGATAAGACTCATGGAATTTCCTGCCTGGGCTGACTTTCAACTGTGGTCCTCAGATCTCAGCCTCCAGAGTGCTGACTGCAGGCATTCACCAGTATGCATCCCCAACCACTTAATCAGGGACCATTATAACTGGGGATGGGAAATACTATGAACAGTAAAGCAGAGGTAGGTGGGGGTGCTCTGCAAGGCTTTTTTTTTTGGTCGGTTGTGGGGCCTGAACTCAGCCTGGGTGCCGTCCGTCCCTCAGCTCTTCAGGTCAAGGCAAGCACTTGAGCCACAGCGCCACTTCCGGCTTTTTCTGTTTATGTGGTGCTGAGGAATTGAACCCAGGGCCTCATGCATGCAAGGCAAGCACTCTACCACTGAGCCACCTTCCCAGCCTCCCCACCTTTTCTTGGTAGTACTAGGGTTTGAACTAAGGACCTCACGCTTGTTAAGCATTCTTACTAATGAGCCATGCCTCCCGTAGTGGCTTTTCAGTTTTATCTTGTGGTGACAGTCCTGGAGCTTGAACTCAGGGCCTGGGTGCTTTTCCTGAGCTTTATAATTTGCTCAAGGATAGCACACTACCACTTTAGCCACAGCTCCACATGTTTGTTTGTTTTCTTTTGGGGTGGGGTGTTGGTAGTTAATTGGAGATCAGAGTCTCATGGACTTTCCTGCCTGGGGCTAGCTTTGAACCATGATCCTTGGACCCCAGCCTCCTCAGTAGCTAGGATTATGGGCATGAGCCACCCTTGCTAGGATTTGCAGGTTATTTTTGAGGTCAATTCTCTCTCTACAGGCTCAAAGTATGTTATGGGCCAGATTCTGACACAGACCACAGCCAACTTTTGAGGAGTCTCACAAACATCTGCCAAAGTTAGCCCTGTACTGCTATCCTCATCTAGGACTGCAGGAGTGAGCCACCAACCAAACCCCAGCTTATTCCACCTAACTTCTCCCAAGCTGTTTCTTCCTGTTTTGACATGTGTTTTTAGGGGAGGTGTTAGTACTCCAACACCAGAATGCGAAAGTGCTTTGCAAAAACAGAGGAACGGCCCGTTTATTTTTATTCAGTGAGCTGCGGAAGCTCTGGGTTCAGAGGAAGCCATGCACTAAGGGTTGGAAGGCCTAGTCTCAAAACTTATATAGAGAAGTGAGACGTCTGGGGCTGGGATGTAGCTCAACAGTGCAGCTTTGGCCCAGCATTCCCGAGTCCTGGGTTCCATCCCCAGCGCGCGCATGCGGGCGAGAAGATGAACTGATTCAGCTTTACCACAACATCGAGGTAAACAATAGGGACCTAGAGAGATACTTGGGCAGGAAGTAGCCAGTGTGTTGAACCCTTTTTAGCACAGTCCCCAACCTTTTGCTCCTCCAGCCAGTCTAAAGCAGAAGTCCTCCCCTCTACACACACGCAGGCGCGCACGCGCGAACACGCACACTACCCCCAACTAATCCGCAGAGACCGGGGCCCGGGTCGACGCCTCTCCCCGCGGGTGCCGCTGCACGCACCTGCGGGACGCGGACCTCCAGCACAGCCCCCTCAGCTCCTGGGCCCGGCGCTTCCGTGAACCGAAAGCGCCGGGCCCAGGCCGCACGCCCTCCGACC